AGTTAGCCAATTATTAAGTTCGGTTAATCGGATAAAAAATAAAATACATTTTAAAAAATGGCTCCAGTGGGGACTACTAGTTTGTATTGAGATTGCAGTCCATCACAGGAGTAAGCTTGGAGCGGTGGAAGTAAAAAAGAAAAAAAAAAGTGTGGTGTGCACTTTTTTAGAGAAATGGATGCAGAACGGCACCGGCTATAGAGGACTACAAATCCCAGCAAAAGTACATTATACAGCGCAATGCAGAATACCATTTGTGGATGCGGGTGGATCTGGCAGCGGCGAGCGTGAGGTGGGGAGGAGGTGTGGCGTGCAGCGTGTGTGGAGCCGTGAACAGGGCCAACCAATCGGAAGCCAATTAATCGATGATTGAAAAAGTTGACAACTTTTTCAATAATCGATTATGTCGATTAGTTGTTGCAGCCCTACTTGACTAAGTGCTTGTTCACGCGACGTCCGTTTTCTGTGCTGACCTGATCCGTACGCTCCTGCACTAAAAATGCATCCCAATGTATCCCTATGTGTTTTATGGGCTACAGTTCTCACGTGCGCAGTCCGTTCAGGTTACAACAGAAAAAATACTGCATGTCACATTTTGTCCGGTCAAGAAACGCACGAACGCTGCAACAACGCAACAGAAACGCAGCTAAGCAAAACATTTTTTATTCTACATAAAGATAGAGTGGGAGATAGACAGACAGGTTGGGGTAGAGGTAAAGACATGAACTGCAAACATTTTGAACATGCCCATTACCTTTCCATGGACATACGAGTAAAGGAAAAAAATGAATCCGGGTGAGCTCGCAAATCCTCATACAAACTCCAGAACTGACCCTTGGAGTCTCGGAGCCTCAAGATTGGGTGTACACACTCACGACGTCTCCTGCGAGCTCGTTCTCTGCAGATTGCTGTAGCCAGCACCATCAACATGCCTGCAAACATGTGATATATATCTGATCACCAGCTTTACATACACAAAGGGAAAGGGAAGTAGATGTTACGAGAGGGCGGAAGTGACCTCAGAGGAAGAATCTGCATACTGACAGCCCCACGGTTTAAAAAAAAAAAAGAGCTGTCAGCATCCGGACCGAAAACGCGTCAAAAACACACTGCATGAGTAGCACCGCATCTGCAGATCCGCATCTGATCAGGACATGAAAATCACGTGAACAGGCCCTAAGAGATTTTTAGCTAACACCTTCCTCAGTTGACTCTTGTCAGTTTACTTAATGTCTGTTTGTAAGGAGAAGGATTTTTCAGTTGATCACGAAAAGAAGATGAAGTTAGGGTTCTCAGAGCAGATCAATGTCACAGGCTCTAAAAGGTTTTTCTCAGTGGACTGAAATGTCACCATCTTTAATAAAGCGTTGCTGCTTTCACAGTGTCCTGCTGGATTCTCTTGAGGTTACATAAGGTAGTGTAGATGTGTATTAATGAATAGATTAGTCATTTAAGTGTCCTAATTTAAAGGCAAGCCACTTCCTAATGGAAAATCATCCTCATACATCTTATATGATCTTATTCAGAATAAATGCTACTTTGTTCGCTTGATAATCCACTGCTGCCTTGGTAAAATTGAAAGTATGTTCAGAAAAACTATGTGCTAAAAATGTTGCATTTAATAAGAATATATTTTAATTACTTTACAAGTTACATAATTCAAACAGTAGCTGATAAAAACTGCACACTCAAAGACATGCTGTTTCTTTAAAGTTTCATTAAACGCGTACATTATTGATTCTTCATGCATGCAGTGTGCTACAGAAGCTATTCCCAGCCTCCATTGACCCAGTTTATGTTCCCTGTTCTTGATGTCTTTCTGCATATTTTGGGCAGCCTTATAATTTCCCAGGATGCCTTTCTCTCAATTGCTGTATGCATTTAAAAAATCAGGGCTGTCTTTATATTGTACAGTGAAAGCCTGCTGTTACAGTGTTTTGTGTTCCTGCGGGAGGTTACCACCTAGCACCAGCATGAATTTGTCCGTGTAAATGGCAACGTACTGGCAACTATTGAGGGCTTGTTTACACACAGAATGCAGAGTTTTCCAGAGCGGTAGCTGCTGGAATGCACCACAATCCCTCACAAAACTTGCCCCTGCGTTCTGGGGCTGGAGGGGGCATGGCAGTGCATCGAATTCAATGCACTGCCATCCCCCTCCCACACCAGAACGCAGGGGGAAATTTTGTGAGGGATTGCGCTGCATTCCAGCAGCTACCGCTCTGGAACACACCACATTCGGTGTGAGTACAAGATCAAGGGCCCCTCAACAACCGTTATAGCAGGTGCTCTTTTGGGGTGGCTGACCAATCAGCGATTCGCCTGGCATGCTCGTTTTGCTTGCAGATTTTTACCTCAACAATTAGAAGTGAAGAATAGAGCATCTGTTGCCACTGTAGACACCAATGATAATTATCCTGAGGGAGCTGTTAAAGGAAACCTGTGATGAGAGAAATATGCAAGTTGCCACTGGCTGGGCAAATTCCATGAGCCAGATAGCCAATGCTCCATAAAAATGAAAGCTAGCTATGGAGCATTCACTTGCATTCACAGCTTCCCTTGGCAGCCCGGTACACAGTTGGAGTCTGGAGAAATACCCAGTATTTCCTGGTACAGGAAAATATGCAACATCCACCCCACTTCTCCACAATGCATAATTTATTGCATGAGCAGCCAGTTGTAAGGCCCAAGCACTGCCATTTGAGGGGGTGGGGAAATGTATAGCCCTGTGTAAGTTTTGATTCAAAAACTTGTGCAGTCTCGCTAGCAAAAGTGGGTGGTGAGGGAGCGTGGAGATAGTGAGTAAATGCTCTGTAGTGTCTCTACAGTGTAGTTTCCCTGTTAATTATTCCTATATTTCTAGCTTTAGAAAGAATGTCTAACAGCTTTTCATGATTTCTCATTTACTCTGTAGAGCAGCTAAGATGAATGCAGTGGATGGATTATCTAGTGATGTGTCCTGCAGTCATTGATTTGTCCCAGTTTAAAAAAAACAATATTTGGCAAGCGCAATTCCCACTAAATCTGGATGGACGTTCTTGTCAGTTATTATGAGATTGATAAGATTGTCTTTGTCTCTTTCTCCAAAACTTTGTTTAGAGGAGGACACAGTCCACAGTTTGTGCTTTTTTTCCACAGACTGTTGTCAGGTGGCTACCCGCTATTGCAACAAAAAAAGAGTTTGCAAGAATCCATAACTTCCAAATTACCTTTATTGTGGATTACGGGTTGCCTCCTAACAGAGTCCTTCTCCCATAGTTTGTTGTATCCTAAAGATTCCTCATAAGTGTCTTATTACCATTTGTGGGGTGTTTTCCATTCTATTTCAAAGTAGTTCTGCTATTTTCTTTTCTCAGACTGATCCCAAAACAGTTTAATGAGAACCAAATGATGGTGTAATTTGTGGTGACAAGTGACATTCTGATTATGATTCACTTTCCTTGTTCCGGTCCGTGGAGTTGATTTAGTAACGGAATAAAACACAGATAACTTTGCAAAAGTCTTCAATTGATTCACTAAGAAAAATTAAAATTCACTCTGAAAGTGATCCTGCTCTACTCAATTAGTAAATCAGGTTCAATGTTTCTAATACCCTAAATAATGACTATTTAGATCTCTAAATACATTCTGTTAGCATTTTTGTGACGACATGTGATGGTCATTGCCATAGCATGGCACCATAATCATAGACTGGTGCTAATGCTGCTCAGATAACATGATATTGACCTTGCCTAGGTAATGTAGCACTGTTCTTAAAGGGGTTCTAAACCCTCCGTTTTTTTTTTGTTGCATATATCTACTGCTAGCAAGCAGTAGATATAGGCAAGAAGTTTAAAAAAAAACAAAAAAACGCTTGAACTGGTTTTAAACTTACCTCGTTATCGCTGCTCGCGCCCAGAATCAGGAAGTGATCGTACGGCCGCAAAGGATCTTGGGGCGGGCGCATGCGCAGTTCGGATTCTCGGCTGGGAGACGAGCAGAGACGCAAGGTAAGTCTATGGACGCGTGCACCCGCATGCAGACACCGCTGGATCGGAGAGACAGAGCAGTCAGCGCTGGATCGGAGTGACGTCGCACCGCTGGAGGGACACATGAAAACATGGGGAAAGAAGAGGAAGATCAGAATAAGAGACATCATTTGAGGTAAGTGCTAACATTTACATGGGGGGGAGGGGAAAAAAATTTGGCTTTAATGTCACTTTAAGAAAACATAACATGACACTCTGTTAGCTCAGGTGTATTAATACTCTCGGTGGCTGCTAATTGTCATACATTTGTATAGGTGGAAGGAATGTTTAGTCCCACTATGCAAAAGGTCAAGTGCCATAGTGCTCCATATTGTGTTTACTTTAGTTAGCTCAGTTAATAGATGCACTTTATCACTGTTGTGGGTTACTGCACATTGCAAGTTATTTTGAATGTTTGCACTGCCTTTCTGAGTAGCCCAGATAATACAACATTGCATACTTTAAGGCCTTGTTCACACCAAATGCAGAGCAGATCCGGTCAGGTTTCTGCACACGCACGCTAGTCTTTTAGATGCTTTTTTGACTAAAATGTTTTTTAAATTTTTTTAAAAGTTTAAATGGGCTTTCAGTGCGTTCCAGGCATTTGCATGCATTTTTGATGCGTTTGCAGATCCAGAGCAGGTAAAATAGGGCTTGCTGCAGTTTTTTCACCTGCTCTGGAACTTGCACGCTGCGATGTGAACTGGAGCAAAAAATAACATTGGAATACATTGGACGCAGTTTTGATCCGGTCTGCAACTGATCTGATCTGCTCTGCGCGTGCTCCGTGCTTGGTGTGAACAAGGCCTGAGTGTATATTTACAATTCTGTACTGTCTTTCCAAATGCACATGTTTACAGTGTATGTTTATCAGAAAAGCCTCTTCTGAAAAAGTTGCATCTTGCTTTTGCCGTAGTCTAAACAGTGCAGTTGTGTTTTCAGTCTATAAAGGAACATTGCTGCACTATTAACATCATTTTGTTTTCATTACAGGTTTCCTGCTATTCAAAGAATTTTGCACAAGCGACATTGATGAAGGGGTTCCACAGCTCAAGTTTTATGAGGAGGTAACTGGTGTTTTTTTTGTTTTCTTTTGTTTTTTTTATTTGCCTGCGTTCTTTCATGCAGTGACCTAAAAGTACCCGTACATGGGCATGAACAGTCAAACAATCCAAAAAACTCCTAAGCAGTTGTATGTCTAACAGCGAATAGGCAAAACTATTGCAGCTGTCAAGTGCTGACTGTCATAACCTAGTAGAGTTGGAATATTGCTAAGCAATTCCTATTCTTCTCTGCTGATTAAGCAGAGATAAGACAGTGCCAAATGTACTGCTCTCTGAAGAGCTTTTCTGACATGCATTATCCAATAGGTAAATATGTCAGGTGTAATCAGTATTGTTCAGAGTCAGATGGCCCTAATGGAACAATCCAAAGCCCTCATGCATGGATACTTTATTACACTGAGGTCACAGTAGTATCATGTTAAATTTGAGCATGTAATGTTTTTGGTCTGCCGCTTAGTTGATATGTTTATCCCAAAAAACAATCTGGTTTTTAGAGATGTAATGTACTTTGTACCCAAACACTAATGGATTAAAGGAAATCTGGGTGGAGAGAAATACAAGGGCAGCCATTACTGATCTCATCATATGCATTTTTTAATGCAACTAGTCTAAGTATCTGAATTTTATTTGCTGTTGGCCTCTTCTAATTCCCCATACATCAGTACTCAGAATAGTATAGGGAAGATAGGAGTCAACCATGTAGATAGGAGTCAATCAGGTATGCTGCATGCATATGCCCTGAGAAGGAACCTGGTGGCTGGAGAATAGAGAGGTGACTCATCAGAATTCTGCTACTTTTTCACTGCAGCAGAGAAAAATCAGTTTCCCAGGCTGACTTTTCTTTCTGGCAGACCTGTGTAAATCTTCGAACTGGATGGATGGGGAATGGCAATCAGTTAAATCCACTTCTATGTATGTATTTCTTTTGATATATTTGTTTTCCTGGACTTCAGCCTTTTTGCTTTCTGACCCAGGAGTAATGAGCCAGTAAAGCAAGAATGCAGTCAAAAATGATCTGCACATTAATGTGACACTAAACTCAGGAGTTACGCTTTAAAAATGCATTCAAGTACTATAAGGGCTTGTTCACACCAAGCACGTTCCAAAAGCAGAGCAGTTACAGACCGGATCAAAACTGCGTCCAATGTATTCCAATGGTATTTTGGGCTCTAGTTCACACTGCAGCCTTCAGCTCCAGAGCATTTACAAAAACTGCAGCAAGCACTATTTTGCCTGCTCTGGAACGCATCCAAATGCATGCAAACGCACTGGAACGCACTGAAAGCCCATTTTAAACTTAAAAAAGGGAAAACATTTTTTATACCAAAAACGGCCCAGAACGCATCAAAAACGCAGCACAAAATGCGGTTAAACACACTGCACTGCATGTGCAGAAACTCATGCAGATCTGGTCTGCATTTGGTGTGAACAAGCCCTAACTATTAACAAAATGTATCTTATTTGTGTATCACTCAGCTGTAGATCCTCAAATAATCTATGAATTGGTGCTGACACTGTCCTGCCTTTTGGAGGGTGGCTACTTTTGTTCCCTATGGTTCAAGTGTGTGTTGTAAAGTAGACACCACTCCAAGCTTACGCCAGTTATGGGCTACAATCATAATACCAATTGGTGAACTAAACATGAGATTGCATTCTATGACAGAAGTGAGCTTGGAGTGGTGGCTACTTTGCAACACACACAAGGACCATAGGCGACAAACGTAGCTACCGTCCAGGACACTGTCGGCACCAATTCGGAGATGATGTGAGGATCTACAGCTGAGTGATACACAAATAAGATACATTTTTTGTTAATGGCTAAGGAACTTAACCCCTTCATGACTGAGGCCTTTTTTTCATTTTTTGCACCCATGTTATATTCCACATTTTAGGCCTGAAAATGACTTAAAACCCCCAAACATTATATATTTTCTGACGGTGTCCGGTGGGGGGGGGCAACAGGTAAGTCGCCAGAATCGCTTCTGTTGTAAAGCCGACAGTCGGCTCTACAAGTTTATACAGACTCCCGGCGGCAAAAGTCGCCGGGAGTCTGTTTAAACAGCCCCGATTCTGGCGACGTACACTGTACGTCGTCAGTCACGAAGGGGTTAAAGGTATTTTTAAGGTTCAGCTCCTCAGTTTTGTGTCACTTTAATTACTTAATCCATTAAAGCCAGAGATGGTCAGGCAGCTAGCATTTTCAGAAGGAGGTCAGCAGTGGCCGCCTCCATGTTTCTCTCTGCACAAGATTTCATTATATTGAAATAATGATGTTCCTTCTAGAGAACAAAGTTCAGTATCGTATTATTTAGCCACAAGGTTACTGTACATTTATACCAGATACTGACTGGCTTTATATGCCTAATAGACATTTCATAACTAGTTAGGTGTCAGGTTTTCTCACAGGATTGCACTTTAATGCACTCTTTTCATAAAATAACCACCGATGAAAAATACAGCAATGTCATAACCAGCAATACTGTTTATTCATGTTAAATAGTGTTATTGGCTCTATCTCCTTTTTGAAGATACAAACTGCATATTGCTCTATATTGCTTCAAGGTAATGGAGTATGACACAAAAATAGGACTGTGTAGCTGTCGATGGAAATGACATGGATCTGTCATCATTTTGTATAAGCATGACTTGGTATAGCATCAGTTAGCTTTTTATTTTTGTAACCAAAAAATGAAAGCATGAAGAACACGAACTATGCTACTAGCAAAGTGCCCTTATTTCCTCCTGGTATAATATACTGTACGGGTGATGTGGGTAAAGTGGGTTGGTCTTGTTTGCTTTGTTAATTGGAACAAGGAAAATGTTTAATTTTAGTTGTGTTTGACAACCTACAGTGTGCCTGTGCTGTACATATAATACCAGCCTGTGTTTGGGAAATCCCATGGTTACCAGGCAACTCAGTATAGCACTGGGCTTTCCTTGCTAATAGAATGCAGCCTTTGGTTTAGAACATGTGAAGTATACCTTAGAGATTACCTGTGCTTTTGCGATCTGTTGCCATGGAGAAAAGATGTCTGCTGTTGACTTTCTCATAACCAGTTAGCTGCTAGCTATGCTAAAAGTCACAATGTCCCTGCAAAATAATGGCAACAAGGTTTGCCTTTTTTGACAATTTTTGGTTTTAGGCCTATTCTAAATGATTTAGTTTCCACAAGGCCACTTTCAGTGTTTGCGTTCTATTATAGAAATAAGTTCACAGCAGTACTGTGGTGGGAGAAAGCCAAGGAGTGCAACATTCATTTTTTTAACTCTTTGTGTACTGAATCTTTTTTTTAATTACAATGCTAGACAATCAAAGAGCTAGAAAATCCCTCTCAAGTAATATAATTGGAAGTGACATGAAAAGTTAAAAAAAAAAGAGAAATCGGTAAAGGACGTTAGATGAAGTTTGATGGTATTTCTGGATTTAGAAGACAACTTCTGTCTGTGGCCTGCTCTGGTGGGTAAAGTCTTGGTGCAATAATCTTCTTTGGCAGTGCCCGCACAGGCACATTCCAAAGACTTGAATGGGTTACACTCCTACAGCAGAGTGGGGATGATGTCTACATAAAGGCTGTAAATACCAATCAACCTGTACCATCATGAAATTGCACACCTGGATTAAAAGGGGTGGAGGTTAGCGGGGATGGGGTTTAATTTAAATTAGTTGAAGAAGTTAAGGCAGTGGTGTATTCTGGTTTGGGGCTGTCCTAGGCAAGGCAAAACTCGGGCCCCCCCCCCAAAGCTCTGTGGTGGGCTCTGCATGGTCTCAGGGGGTCTTTGCAGGATCTGTGGTGAGCTCTGCGAGGTCTTTGGTGGGCAGAGCCCACCACAGATCCTGCACAACTCCCTGAGACCCTGCAGAGCCCCCCACAGATCCTGCACAGCCCCCCTGAGGCCTTGCAGAACTCCAGGAAAGTTTTCTATAAACCCTTGCAGTGGAGCTACCCCTGCACTGCAAGGGTTAAGTGCTCATTTGCATCTAGGTGCTAAAATTACAAAGATATACTCACCCGAAGCTCTGAGCTGGCCAGCTGTCACATCGCTCCCCAAGCGTTTCTCCCCCTCCCTGCAGCACTGAAATCTTCCTCAGTGTCATCACATCTATATTCTGTGTATAGACCTGATGATTTACATGACTTTACACCACTGCAGAGAAGGGGAAGAGATGTTGGAAGGACTGGTCTAAAAAGAAGCCAGCTCGGAGCTTTGGGCGAGTATAACTTTTTTTTGGTCCCTAGACACAAACAAGCACGTAACTCTTGCAGTGCGGGAGTAGCGCCACTGTAAGGTTTAATTTAAAAAAATTCCTGGAGTTCTTCTTTAAAAAAAGAACTTTATGCATACAACTAAAAACGGCTACAAAATGGCCTGGGTGGTTATCACTCTACTGTAAGACAATTGACTACAAATAAAGGAAATACTGTGCTATTGCCATTGTCCTTAGCAGTGGGCATCCTGCAAAGATCATGAGAAATGCAGCGTGCAGTGCTAAAGAACATAAGAACGCCATTGTCAGAGGGGGAGAAAATAGTGGAAAATCCAGAATTGTACTTTTGTCACCAGAAATACTTGGGAGATGGTCCAATGGGTAAAGGAAGAGGTCAGCACACTTTATATAGTTTACGAAGAGATTTGTGTCAAAACATAAATGTCTTGAGTACACACAGATTTGCAAGCCCTAGTAATCTCGATCAAAGGGGACCTGTGCTCGCCTCTTCCTTCATCTGTTTGTCAGCACCACTGAAGTATGCAATGGCTTTCAAGTTATGTGTGCAATATAGTAGCATATAACAGCTTTTCAATGGGAAGACCTGTTCTGGTGACATCCGGTGGTTTCCTTTCACTTCTGGTAGTGTCTTGGGGAAAGAGAGTAAAGGGAAATGTCCTTAATGGGACACAGACAACAAAGAATCCTAACAGAATTTTTTTTAAATAACTTAAGAAAAATCGTATTCTGGAGTAATCAAGGTAGTGTCCAAACCTGAACAAAACGGTTAATACAA